AGGGATCTTTTTATGGCCGAACTTTGTGTACGCGAGAGAGATGAAATTTGTGTTTGATGATTTACCCTGAGGTTTCGTTTTGTTTTTATTTTTATTTTCCTTTTTTGGAAATGCGTAATTTTATGGAGTGTAAAGTTTATCCTTTATTACTTCTTGCCTTAATGGAGGGTTGAATTTTGACAACTTGTTGGCTGCAACTTTTTTTTTGTATTTTTTGTGGGTAGTATAATAATAATTTAGATAAAGCTCTTTTTATTACGAAGATGTTCTCAAATTGACATTTCGTATCAGGCTGGGTGAAGTAATGTGTAAGTGAACATAAAAACTGTATCGTAAATATACAATTTATATTTATGTATGTTTTACAGATGCCGGCCTAAGTAATGCCAAAGCAGCTGTTGTGGGTTATGTGCTCGTCATTTGGCAGAATTTAAAATTTAAATTAGAAAGCACACTTATCATCATCTCCATATATTTTTTCTTCAACTTTTCTTGTATACCTTTCACCAAGAGCCATTGTAGACCCAAAAAGTATATACTTGATCTGCATAACATTTTATGTCGATTTAGCCTATCCCTCTTCAGAACTAAATTAGTTGATAAAATTTTACTCAGATGTATATATGAGCTTCATGGATATTCAAAATTTTGACCTTTGTGGGGGAGGTACTTAATGGAGTGAACCGATATTGTTCATTTTCTCATGATGAAAATATTACTCTTTGCAAAGTTAGAACAAAATGAGATTATCCGTTCTCTTCGTATACGGTAAATTATTTTCTATGAACATTTTGAACTTTTGTGGGGGAGGTACCAGGGTAGGAGTGAACCGATGTTGCCCATCTCCGAACTCGATCTAAGTTTGACAAAAATATTACTCACTTTGTACGCATTGTGCGCACCAGCCAGTCAGACTGATGGGCGGGCGGTCGGACGAACATCGCTAAATCGACTTCAAATGTCCTGAAACGGATTTGGTCCAATGAGACCTATGGTCTAATACCGTTATTTCGACTAGGCACGTTTTGGCCGTATTAAATGAAGATTACACTCTCTAGCCATATGTCTGACGGTATAAAAAACGTGCCTCAGCGAAATAATGGTTTTAGACCCTAGATCTCTTTGGACCAAATCCGCTTTAGGACGTTTGGAGTCGATTTATCCGATTTTTCTCAAAGGGTGTATCCCATTTAGTCCAAACTTGATTCATCGTAGTAAAATTGTCAAACTTAGATCGGGTTCAGAGGTGGACAAAATCGGTTCACTCTCCCTGGTACCTCCTCCAGAAAAGGCGAAAATTTTGATTAATAATTATTCGCAAAAAATTAAACATAAATGCGTTTATATTTATATTTCTATCAGTATTAGATGAAATGGAATATTTGGTTCTACTATATATGGTACCTGATGCACTTTTCAGAATATCGCAAAAATTAATCACACATCTCATCTAAAGCGAAGAAAGCTCTCGATATAATCATATTTGTGTACGTTGTAATATTTATATTAGACTTAGGTCAGATAAGAAATAGAAAACATTGGGCATTGCTTTCGAACCTCCCTCAGAAAGTGACAAAAGGTAAAAAACAATAACGCACCTCAAAATACATTTAAACAAGTAAAGTAGCAGTCAAGTTCGTCCCCGCCGAACATTTTATATCCTCCACAATTCGGTAAATTAACTGATATAGAAATATGTTTGTAAATGCCGAAATTCCTGTATTCGAGGGGTATGCATCACTGATGTTATTAGGAACAACAAATCCACCTCTGTAAAAAGGTTGGCTTCTGTCATCAAACTACCGAATATCGGGAAAATGGCGCTATAGGAAAACGTTGACTTATATAGAAATTGTTCAGTATAAGCAGAAGGACCAATGACGGAATCCATAAACTGAATTTTTAAGTAATTCTGTTAGAAAATGTGGCTTAAATAGTCAAAATACCGAATATCTGGAAGTACCTTTGCAGGGTGAGATGAAAAAACTGTAACCAACTTCAGACTGCTGTCATTTCTAAGCCACTCGTCCGACCGCTATGACAGCTCATTATATTGTTTACAAGCATACAAAAGCATTCTGGTGAGAATTTTCAAGAAAAAAAAGTTATTCGTAATGGAATTCAAGCGTGGGAGTGTGATTTTTTTATATCGTTAGAGCAATCCAGCACTTAAATGTGAATAAATCTTTTGTGTCTCATATTCTGGAGATTGTATTAAAGCCTTGGACACGCAAACATTTTGGCCGCAGACCTTGGACATTCCAACAGGACTCAGCACCATCGCACTCAGAACGCCCCACCCAAGAATGGTTACAAAATGAGGTTCCTCGCTTCATTTCCAGCGCATAATGGCCACCAAAATCTCCGGATACCAATCCGTTGGACTATTGTGTCTGGACTATTTTGGAAAGCAAGGTTGGCACTAAAAAATACCAAAGTGTCGATCACCTTAAGCAAACGCTTCGCCGGGCAGTGTGTGACGATTTCATTGGCCGTTTGAAGACCATAATTCGTGCCAAAGTTGGCCACATCGAACAAATCTAAACTTATTCTAAAATTTGATGCTATGTCCTACATTGTTTGCTTTCATTCAATAAAATTAAAAAAACCAGTGAAGAAAGTCATAAGGTCGGGCGGGGCCCGCTTTTTTATACCCTACACCACTTTGCTAATTTAATAGAGCTCCACGTAACAATTAAAAGTTTTTATGTGAGAATTCAATCATATACGCTATGATTATAATTATTATTTAAAGTTCAAAGGACTAAATATGCCGAAGCATTTGTATTGTTTAAATTCGGAATTGTATGGGCAATTTGGTGCAAGATTAATTTGAAATCAGATAAAGATATATATGGGAGCTATATCCAAATGTGAACAGATCTCGATAAAATTTGGCAAAGATATTTCTGAGCTGTATTTGATATATTTCCCTGAATATCGTTGTTACGCAGTGCATATTACGGCTGTGGGTAACAAATACTAGAAATCGGATGAACAATATATATGGGTGCTATAGCTATATCTGAACCGATCTTCACCAAATTGGGCACACTAGCTTCTGGACTCAATTCGGTCGTAAGTGCCAAATTTTATACCATTTGGGCAAATATTAGACGTTTGGTGCACAATAAAAAGTAAATCGGACGGTTATATATGGGGGCTATATCCAAATCTGAACCGATCTCGATAAAATTTAGCAAAGGAATTTCTGAGCTGCATTTAATATATATGCCCAAATATTGTTGTCACAGAGTGCATATTACGGCTGCGGAGGACAAAAATAACAAATCGGATGAAACATATATATGGCAGCTATAGCTATATCTGAACCGATTTCGATCAAATTTGTCACTCTTATTTTCAGGCCTAATTTGGTTGTATGTGCAAAATTCCATACTATTCGGGCTGATATTAAACGTTTGGTGCACAATAAAATGCAAATCGGACGAAGATATGTATGGGAGCCACATCTAAATTTTTACCGATTATCTCCAATTTCAATAGGGTTCATCATTGGGCCAAACAAATGATTTGTGCAAAATTTCATCTCAATCGGATAATAAATGCGACCTGCATTTTGTTCACAAAAATACATGGACAGACGGACGGACGGACAGACGGACTGACATGCATAAATCACCTCAGAAAGTGATTCTATGGAGATCCTCAAAAGTAACTATGGGTCTATCTCGCTTCCTTCAACATGTTACAAACAAATGCACAAAGACATAATACCCTTACCACTATGTGGTGTAGGGTATAAAAAATGTGAAAATTTTGGCGTTTGACTTTGTTGCAGTTTTTTTTTATCTCACCCTGTATATGGGAGAAATCGTGAACAGTGTTCTGCTACAAGATATAGAATCCAATATGAATTTAAAAACCTAAATTTTTAGTTATTCCTCTAGAAACTGAGCCTAAATTTGTCAAAATACCAAATATGGGACGGTACAATTATATGGGCGCTATAGAAAAACTTGGACTTATATACACAATGTTCTGCCCTAGTAGGTAGAAAATATTATGTACTCAAAATATAGAAATTTATAGTATTCTCTTAGAAGGTATGGCTAATCGAATATCGAGAGATACCTTTAAAAAATTGGGCTATGGGAAAACGTGGACCTATGTGTACAACATTATGCCACAGGAGGTTCATTCTAAATAATTACGTAATTTTAAACTATTACGTTAGAAGGTGTGGCAAAAATTGTCAAAATACCGAATATGGGGATGTACAATTATATGAGATAAATATAGCATAAGAAATATTAACACTTACATGTTTGAATTCAGGATTTTTTACAACTATGTACCAAAAACCACTTATGTGGCATCAAACGAAAATGTATTACAAAGTTTTAAACATTCAAAACGTAATCAGTTTTCTCCTTCAGTACATAAGAAACCAATTTGTATAAACTAACTGAGAAAACTCACAAAACATCACATCATGTTTAAAAATCGATATTTCACCAACAGTCTCAAAAAAAAAAAAAACAAACAAACATACATACACACATTATTACCCACCATGCCAAAAATAACTTAAGTAAGTTTATAAAAATGCTCATTGCTGTGGAGAACGAGAAAATCATGTACAAACCTGAGTGTCCTTTGTTCTTACAAAGTCATTTCCATTCACCTGGAAAACTCACCTGCTGTGATGTGCGACGAAGAATGGCTAATAAAAAGAAAAACCCACAACAACCAGGTCGTCAATCCCAGATCAGCGGGGGACAACCCCCGCAAAACATTTTAACCCCATAAATGGGTTCCACTCAATTTGCTCACCGTAATCAAATATTAAAAGATTATGTGCCGATGAACCTGTTGCATAGAGTGCCGCCATCGTCGTCGTCGTCGCCGCGGTTATTTCATTTATTTAAAAATATTTTTGTTGTTCATCCACCTCCTTAAATTAATGAAAGTGACATTAATGTTTTTCTGCTTCTTGTTCTTCTTCTCCTCTTTTTCTAATTTCATTAAAATTTCAGTATCCTGTTTGCTGACATCTGCGGTTTTACAAGTCTCTCGGATCAATGTACGGCTGAGGAGTTGGTGCGTTTATTGAATGAGCTTTTTGCCAGGTAAGAGCAAAGTCTTAACAGAGGCAAAGGTTGATTAGCTGTCAATGAATAATTAAGTTTACGATATGACAAAAAAAAAGAAAGAAAGAACAATGACAATAACGATTTTTAAACTTTCTTGGTGTAAATAACATTTTTTTAATGGCACATACTTGTTCTGGTGCATTATTAGTTAATAAAAACAAAAAAAAAAAAAAAAAAAAAGATAATGACAAGTTAACATTTTGATGGAAACGACTTGTGGTGTCGTAAGTGATAACAATTTAGTATTTTTATAGCCTATGCCACACCAAGTTTAGATTTGAAGCAAGTAAAAAGGGGAAGTTTCTATCTATTTTGGTTAAAAGTAAAAATATTCCATTTGAATCCCATAAAAATTTCAGACTTAATGTGCTTATGGGCATAGCTTAAATCATCTAGGTCGACACGACATAAAATTGTAGTTAATAGAGTGGTTAAACTTCTCTGCTAGGTATTTCGAGTGGTGTAGGATATAATAAAGTCGGTCCCATCAACTGAAAATAGAGTTTAAGGGAACTTGTTCCGACATGTTTAAAATATTAGACTTCTATCCCTTTTTCATTCGAAGATTGACAAATGAAGGGAAATACCGCAATCTACTTAAAATTTTACGCTGATCAAGAATACAGGGTGAGATGATAAAACTGCAACCAACTTCAGACTGCTATAATATCTGAGCCACTAATCCGATAGCTTCCAGTTTTATTCTAGTGACATCTCTTTATATTATTTACAAGCGTACAAAAGCATTTCGGTGAGAATTTTCCAGAAAAAAACCCACAAGTGGCTATAGTTAGAACACTCCAGCATTTAAATTTGAATAAATCTTTTGTGTCTCGTACCATCGCTCATTACCGTGATACTGGTAGCGTATCCCGACGTCCCGACGGAAGTTGATGGAAGAAAACAGCAACATCAGCAGAAATGGTTCGAAAAGTAAAGAAGTGACTTGATCAAAACCCATGTCGCAGTGGCCGAACAATGGCACGTGAGCTGAACATATCGCAATATTCCATTCGGCAAATAGTAAAAAATTAGATCGGGTTAAAGCCATTGAAATTGCAAAAAGTGCAAGAACTTACAGCGCAAGAGAAAGAAAATAGACTCAAAAGAGCTAAGGAGTTGCTTCACTTGGTCGAAAGTGGTGAACTGCCGAATTCGGTTTAAAACAAACAAAATAAACGTTGTTTACTTGCCAAAGAGGTCAGCTGAAAATGTGCACCTTCGGTTGGCCATCAGAACTCAAGCGCCGGCCATGGTGATGGTGTGGGCCGCCATAAAAGCCGATGGTCGCTCTCCGCTCGTAATAATCGACCGCGGCATCAGAATCAATGCCCAATATTATCGCGAAAATATTCTGGAGGGTGTAAAAAAGCCTTGAACACGCAAACATTTTGGCCGCAGACCTTGAACATTCCAACAGGACTCACACGCGCCACCCAAGAATGGTTATAAAATGAGGTTCCTCACTTCATTTCCAGCGCAAAATGGCCACCAAAATCTCCAATCCGTTGGACTATTGTGTCTGGAGTATTTTGGAAAGCAAGGTTGGCACTAAAAAATATCAAAGTGTCGATCACCTCAAGCAAGCGCTTCGCCGGGTATGGGCCAAAATACCGCAGAGTAACATTCGGGCATCGTGTGACGGTTTCATTGGCCGTTTGAAGGTCATAATTCGTGCCAAAGGTGACCATTTCGAACAAATCTAAACTTTTTCTAAAATTTTATGATATTTCCGACATTTTTTGCTTTCATTCAATAAAATTTAAAAAAAATATGTAAAAATTATGATCTTTGACTTTGTTGCAGTTTTTTTTTTATCTCGCCCTGTATTTAGATGGGGTGATCCAAATTGTATACATCATTATATTTCTATGCAATATCGGATGTATATATAATGGACCAATCGGCAAAATTTTCAAATTCCATAGACATTTTTTCGAAATTTCGAATGCTATATAGATTGTTGACATATTTACCTATACGGTCATAAAACGGGATATTAAGTTTATCATCCCGTTTGAAACACCTCGAAGTATACATTTTAGACCCCACATAGCATATATATTCTTGATCAACATAAAAAACTATGGCCATTTAGCAATGCCCATCCGTTTGTCTTTCCGCCGGTCTGTCTGTAGAAATCGCTTTAGCTTCCGAATGAACTGGAGAAGGTTGATAAAATTTTACTCAAATGTGTGTTACGTCTTCAGGACTTTTGGTATTGAAAATGGGCTATAGACGTCCACGCTATGGTTTAGGTCCCATATAACGGTACCGGCAGATTCAAGGTTTTTAGGTATTTTTGTCACAGTTTTAACTCGAATTTGCTGTAATTTTACAGTTTGTTTTCCATTACGTAAGAAACAGCCTTGCGTAGAAAGATCAATGTAGGAAATTAGGTATTTTGATGATTTGTGTCGCAGTTTGCACAATAATATGATAGGTCCACATCTTCGTATAGCTCCCATATAATTGTTCCTCCTAATATTGGATATTTGACTACCTGAAAGATTTCACTTAAAAATCACAAACATTGCAGTATAAAAAAATCTTGATTTTATGGCGTAAACTTTTCCATTTAAATACATTTAAAACTCCCACAACTATAGTTCGAAAGTCCTTATATCAAACATACTATAATTATAATATTCGAGTTTTCAAAGTATTCGGTGCTCTATATTACCGATTTTATCCATTTGCAAATGTCTGAGTGGAAAATATTTTTCTTACCTTACATACCAACAAAAAAAGGATAATTGTTTTGAAATCCCCCCACAGGCGTCATTGAAAAACTGTTGTTTATTTTATCCATTGTCTACATTTTCTTTTTCCTTTACAGATTTGATCGATTGGCAGCCGAACATCATTGTTTGCGTATTAAATTATTGGGTGATTGCTATTACTGTGTCTCAGGGTTGCCCGAACCCCGACCGGATCATGCCCATTGTGCCGTTGAGATGGGTTTGGATATGATTGATGCTATAGCGTGAGTACACACAACACATACACACACATACCAATTGTCTTTTTCACACAAACACGCACACACCCATTTGAGTATTTGTTACTCGTCGAGAAAATGAAACAGGCTCTGTTAGGTTTTTGGGTTGAAGATGAAACATTCAGGCATATTCTTAGGGCGCTTAACTGGATATGAATAGCAAAGAAAATTGAATTATTTTGTGGGAAGCAAATCGTAGCAAATGGTATGTAAACGAAAAGACACATACGAATGTTGCTCCAAGTGAAAAAGGAAGGGAGGAAAAAAAGGATGAGTGCTAAAGAGTTTTAAAGAAAATTTATGGTCTAAGAAGCTTAAAGAGTAATTGATTATTTACAGTATTATTTTATCAGTGTACATTTCATTTAATAATTAAAGAGACTTTTAAATCGAAAAACGAATGCCAGGGAACAGAAATAACTTTTCCAATTTTGTTTAAGTACATGAAAATCGCAAAAGGTCTTGAAAATTAATTTATAACAATCATTTGATGATTTGGAGTGCAAAGGTCATGTAATTATTTTAGATTTTATAAAATAGGATTGGAAACATTTTGTTATGCTAGTTGTGAAAATGATAGGTAGAAGACAATTGAATTTCTTACATAACTTTTGTAATTCAATAACGAAGAATTACTAAAATTAGAACCCCTTGTGTTGTGAAAAGACCAATAAAACTGTCCGTTAAAATTATGATAGGTACAGCCCTCCATATGATGGTGCCTGCTTAAATTCGGTATTTTAATAATTTTAAAAAACAGTTTCCGCGTGACTTTTTCATATTTAGTATTTGAAACTAGCAATGGATAACAACCTCTGTAGCAAAAATGGTCTTCATAGGTTCACGTTTTGGTACAGTACACACAAAACGTTTTTGTCCCCAAAGATTGCTTAACCACGAAAAAAATTAAAAGTAATTGTGAAAAATCAAGGAATAACAAGTAAAGGAAGCTAAACTCGATTTGAAAAGTTCTAATGTAATCAAAACAAGTAAAAAAGGCTAAACCGGACCAAACTTTTAATACCCTCCACTTTTGTAGGGAATTTGCAAATTTTCAAAAAAAAAAAAAAAAAAAAAAAAAAAAAAAAAAAACATTGAAAAGGTCTACTATAACCAGAACAATTAAAAAAAACTAATTTCGGTCAGACCGAACTTTTAATATCCCCACCATTTGGAGGGAACTTGAAAATTTTTCAAAAAATTCCGAAAAATACCGCTTAAATGAAAGCCCAATTTTCTGTCGCATACCCAATTTTCTGTTGCAGGTAGTAGCACTCATTATATACTTCAATTACGAAAAATATATGGTAGCTATGAGAAAGGCATTTCTTCCTCTCGCACCTCAACATTGCTATAGAGTACATTCGAAAAGAATAATATTAACAAGTTAAAAAGCAGCAAGTTCGGGCGGGCCGAACTTTGAATACCCTGCACCAATTGGAACGAATTTCGAAATTTTCAAAAAATAAAATCCTTAAAAAATTCTTTTAAAATTTTAAGAATACCAAATATAGCCGTTATATTGGGGTCTATACGACGTGGACCTACATAGGCATTGTTTTTCATAAGCCATTACCATATTCAAATTCGAAACTTGAAATAAAACGGTAAATGCGGTTGTAAGATTTAGAAGACTTTCCAAAAGAATTTTAGTTTTATTTAATTCTTTGGTTCCTCTTCTATTGAGCTTACGATCTTGTCACTTGGGTAAAAAAATGTTTTTGTCATAGAAGTTATTTTAAAAATAACTTCTGGGGAGAATATCCCAGACAAAAAAACAAGGGAACTGATGAGGATTGGTGGCTCTTTCCGAAACCCAGGTATTTCCTGCCTTACCCCCTGGTAAACATTACCATCGTTCTCCACTAATAAACTAACGTTGTTTTATAAAAACAACAATAAAGGGATAAAGCCTAACCATTTTGCAACAACAAAATACTACGGTATCCCGAACAAACAAGCCAACACTCTTCTCGGTAAATAATGTAGCTAAAATCAAAAAAATATCGTAAATAGGGAGGAGGCTGTGAGAAGACCTGGACCTGCATAGACAATTTTCTGTCACAGGCTGTAGCATCCATTACGAACTTCAAATACGACATCTCAAACAATTTCGGTGGGTAAAGTTTTAGCCTTCTATCTCAATTCGTTCGAAAGATAACGTGATTACAAACGAATTACCGACGAACTGCAACAAAGTCAAAGCTAATGAAACCGTCACACGCTGCCCGAATGTTGCTCGTGCGGTATTTTGGTGATCGACACCTTGGTATTTTTTAGTGCCAACCTTGCTTTCCAAAATACTCCAGACACAATAGTCCAACGGATTGGTATCCGGAGATTTTGGTGGCCATTGTGCGTGCTGAGTGCAATGGTTCTGAGTACTGTTGGACTATTCAAGTTTTGCTGGCAAAATTTTTGCGTGCCCAAGTCTTTAATACACCCTCCAGAATATATTCGCGATAATATTCGTCATTTATTCTGATGCCACGGTCGATTAATACAAGCGCATAGCGACCACTTTTCGAACCATATCTGCTGATGTTGCTGTTTTCTTCCGTCCATTTGCTTGACGTCGGCCTAAGCTACTAGTATCTCGGTAACGAGCCATGGTACGAGACACAAAAGATTTATTCACATTTAAATGCTGGAGTACTCTAACGATATCCACTTGTGATTTCCGGCCAAATGTAAAGAAATCACACTTAAATTCCATCGCGACTAACTTTTTTTCTGGAAAATTCTCATCAAAATGCTTTTGAACGCTTGTAAACAATATAATGATCTGTCACTGGAATAATTTCAACAGTTGTCGGACGAGTGGCTTAGAAATGACAGCAGTCTGAAGTTGGTTGCAGTTTTTTTCATCTCACCCTGTATACCCTCAATAGTATCGTGGAGGTTATACAAATATAAAAAGCAAAATAAATTATGCAGAGGATTGGATTTTTTACTCAAAACTCTGTTCCAGAAAAAGGTTATGCGTAGAAATCGGTAATGGGTAATTTACTCATGTTGCTCCCAATTTTTTTGTAGTCTGCCGTCACTCATTACTTGGTAATAAGAAATTACTTGCTTTGAAAATATTTTCAACCTACTGGCATTGCATAATATAGTTATCTTTTATTCAATTCTTTTGTTCAATTATATAGCTTCCAAATGTTTGCTGGGATGCATTAGAAGTGGCTAACTCTCTTGCAAAACTGATAGGTGGCTCTGATATGGAAATTTTCTTTTCGAATTTATAGAGCAAACAAAGTATTCGAAACTTTTCAAATTATTCCAATGTGATAAAATGCCAACACATAGATGTGCATACGTACATACCTATTGATTCTCAGTAAAGTAGCGTATAATTAGTTTATTTTGCGTGTACAGGTTTCTAAACACTAACATACTTACACATACATATATTTGTTTACCATTTGCTTGTACTTTCAGATTGGTGCGTGAGGTAATGGCGGTCAATGTTAACATGCGTGTGGGCATACACACGGGACGTGTCCATTGTGGTGTTCTGGGTTTAGTGAAATGGCAATTTGATGTGTGGTCAAATGATGTGACACTGGCCAATCACATGGAGAGTGGTGGCATACCTGGGTGAGTTAACCAAACGATTCAGAGCTGTATATGGATGTTTTTTTTTTTCTCGGATTTGACAGCAAAAACAAATATAAACTGTAGGTGTCCTTTGTAAAACAGCTTCGAGAAGAAAAGGATTTGTGTATCAACATACCACACCACGCAGAGATGTGTATTATCATAAATCATGACTAAATTTAGCCACCAATGTAAAACGATACTTTCTAATTGGTCCAGCAATGGAGGATGTTGATTTTTAGACATTTAGACATTTAACGAAATATTAATTATGTTTGTTATGGCCCGCAATGTGATAGCATCATTATCGGATTCTCTGTCAAGTATTGTTTAAATCATCTTAAAATATAAATAACTAGCTGGCCCAGTCCGCGTTGCCGGCCCGTACTTTTAGTCTTTAAAACATAATAAATCACAGATCTGACTTATGTAGGCGGCACAATTTTGATTATAAGTAATGACTCCATTGTAATTACTCCAATTTTGATTATAAGTAATGACTTGATTATGAGTAATGACTCCATGACTAAATATAAATTAATATGCATGGCAAAAATTATAATTACCGTCGGTTTTAGATATTTTGAATAGCCTGATCTTATTTTTCAGCTATAGGCTTTAATTTGAGTGTTAAATACCTATATGATAAAGAACATCTATAATAGCCCCAATTTTTGATATTGTAAAAAGCATTCAAATGAGCTATAATTTGAAATTTGTATTTCCAACGTTTAAAGTCCCGTACTGCGTGGTATTCAGTTTTATCCACCTCATACTTGAAGGCAGAATGTTGTCAAAATAGCTAAAAATTACTCTTTTGCTCCGATTACCGTAAGATGGGCATTAATTGTTTGTCATTTAAATTGTGCGGTGGAGATCCAATAAAATTACTTTATAATTTCGTATTTTTTTCATGTTTCTGTCACAATTTCCGACTGAATGAGTCCCAGATTGACATTTCGGAGTTTATTTCATATAGACGTACATCCCAAATCTACGTTCCCAACCAATATTCTCTTGGGGGTTACAAATTCAATAAAATAACAAATTTTCTTTTCTGACCACACATTGGTTGGGAAAGTGAACTTGGGGGTATACTAATGTGGGGACTATACTTAAATAAATTCCTATGAGGATAATTATCTGTAAGATGATTTTCTACCCCAGGTAGCCTTAAGACTAAGATGCGCACTTTTCAGATAAATAAAAATTTATGAGAAGAGGTTTTATTCCCCCTTAGAAACAAAGATGTCAAATAAGGGCCAAAAAATTAAAAAAGTGGCCAAGACCCCGAAAATACCTTAAATCATATGATGGTGATGCCAAAACGTGATAATTTTTTGCAAAGATAGTTCCTTCTTAAATTATCAACATAAGCTAAAATTAGTACGAAAAATGTGGTTAAAATGTAGAATATACTTGAAAGCGGGTTGTTCCGTTATTAGGGGTAATGATCCATATCATGACCTGCCGAAGCGATTAAAGGTATCTTGAATGTTTAGGTAGAATTTCTATTTTGCGTCCTTTATAGTCGGTATTTGACTGATTGCAGTCCCAATGTATTTTGCATTTTGTGTTCTCATTTGACAATTTATTGTCATATGAAAGAAGCAGGTCCAATTTTTGAAATTAACCCCATAACGCTTCTTCGGTAATTTTTGTTTGTTTAAATGTGTTCTCATCTTCCAGCTGAAGCACGATGTAGGTCCTGGAGTAGAAAGCATTTAACATCGTATTGCGCCCTCATTTCATTTTTAATATTATTCATTCAGAATTCAAACCAATAAAAAAAATGTACACTTCAATATAGAAAAAAAAGAATCTTCAAATGGCTCACTGATTTTTTTGCAGCAAATTTTTAAAGGTCCTTACAAAGTTTTTCGGTAGAATGTACTATTATTTTGAAATTCGCTTCCATTGAAAAAATTGTCGATTTTTCCCGATTTTAGAATTTTCATATAAAGCGACAACGGATAAAATTGTTATTTATAGATTATAGGTAGTTATTGGTATTACGAATAAATACATAAAATCTATAAATAACAGTTTTATTCGTTGTGGCTTTATACTACCCAAAAAAACCTACAAATCATATAAGAATTCAAAAAAAAAAAAAAAAAAAAAAAAAAAAAAACACTACAAATGTACATTCGAAAATAATAAGTCAAAATGGGATAAAATATGCAATATAAAACATTACTATTGTACATTTTAAAAGTCAAAATGAAAATGTTCAGATTTCACATTTTTACGCGATTTTTTTGGATTTTATTTTTTTTCTGGCAAGAGGCAATTCCGAATTTGTCTAAATCGTTAAAATCAGACCGGCGGTCTTTATGTTATAAGAGTAGCAAATAACACAACGCGCGTTCCTCAGCGCCTAAATAAGTACTTAGGGTTGGATGGAAAGCCAACAGCATCTCGTGTAATAATTCTCAAACCGATATCTTGACTAATATAAAGATTTTAGATAAATCGTAATAGTGGGCGTAAATTAAGGCGTGGTCAATATTTTTTTTTTCTTTAAAAACCTAACTCGGGGTATGACGAACGTTTGTACAAAAAATTTTGCAAATCGGTCCAGCTGCTATCAACTGATTCCGTTACCAACAAACAACAATTGATTTATATATATATAGATAAGAATAATGAATTTAAGAAATTTGGCAGAACATTACAATGTCGTCAAATTTATGTGGCAACTAGCAAATGGCCACTACTTCATATGCGGAAATAAGAATTGATATTAAGTGGATTTGGAATGTGGATAGTATTAAATAAACCACCACCACCACCACTACCATTTCAAATTAGAAATTGAATCACTAATTTCAATACACATCGAAAACAGTTGCTTTGAATATAATAAATTCATACGTATATACAAAATAAATTTCTAAAAATTGGTTTTTAGATAGATTTTTTACCTTCGTATTTTTCTTATTTGGAAAATATATCTGAATGGCATATATTTCGCAGTGATCTTTTTACCGAAGTTCATAACTGCTTTCCTGGTGTATATATTTTCCTCTATACAAAATTTAAAAAAAAATATTCCTAATCTATACAAAATTTAGCAACATTTAGTAATGTTTTCAAACTTTCCCAAACCACCTACTCATGCCAAGTCTCGCATTTCGAAAGAAAACTTCCACCATGTCCAAGTCCTATACTCCAGTAATTTCATTTTCAAAATTTAGAATTGCAGCTCCATTCGTTCCTCCAAATTTGAATTGTACTGCGTTCAAAATAAGTTGGTGATATTTTTGCATAGAACTGTCCATAAATGTCTAAAATTTGCTGTAGTTCCCATATTTTGCTTTACCTCTAGATTTTGGGTATTTTGATGATTTGTGTCACACTTCTCCCGGAATGGTTTTAAATTTGGTATTTGGAGTTCGTGATTGGTATAATCTCCTAGGGCAGAAAATTGCTTGAAAAAGTCCAAAAGTCCGTATTTTTTTTATCATTTTAAAAGCATTTTTAAGTTGTTTCCAATTTTTCCAGCAACCATTAGAAATTTTGCCTTTCTTGTACGCATTTTCAAATCCATATTCCATATTTTGATAATTTAAGAAGCATTTTTCAAAGGAATTTTTAACATTTTCGATGATTATTCCAAATGGCATACTTTTTTGCATGTTTGTATATCGATTGATTAAGAGTTGAAATTCAACTCTGCTAACATATACAGGGTGAGATAAAAAAACTGCAACAAAGTCAAACGCCATAATTTTTACATTTTTTTATACCCTACAACACTATGTGTTGGGGGTATTATAAGTTTGATTGGGCCAAAAATTATGTAACACCTCGAAATATTGGTTTCCCACATAGGAAAGTATATATGAATCTTCCTATCTCGCCGAGCTGAGCCGATCTAGCTATGTATGTCCGTCCGTCCGTCTGTCCGTCTCTCCATGTTAATTTGTAATCACTCTACAGGTCGCAATTATGATCCGATCTTCGCGAAACTTAGAATGAAGGTGGAGATAGGGTCAGAATAGAACCCTATTTCTTTTGGAGATGATCGCATAATATTTAGGGACCAAAAACTGAAAAAAATCCTGATTTTGCAGTTGCTCTACAGGTCAAATTTTATTATAATATATATTGCAATTATCGTCCGATCTTCACGAAAAGGGTAGGGTAAGGCTCAGAATGGCTAGGCCTATTGTTTTCAAAGATGTCCGTAATATATTTAAGGGTTGAAATTTAACAAAAAAAAAAAAATGTTCCTGATTTTGCAGCCGTTATAATACAAAGAGAAACCAAAGGATACAAAATCTCGCATGAAGTTAGAGTTTAGGACTCTGGGTAGAATGGACCACTACTTTGTGTAAAAAATACCAGCATTACTTACAGACGATATCCGACGATAGCCAAATATCGTAGACAAGAAAATCATATAGATGAGTCTAAATTTAGAGATTCAGATGGGCCTCTTGCTTTTGGAGATAGCTCAAATTAACCAAAAACAGAAAAAAATTTCTGATACACAATTGGAGCCATTCGACATGCCTTGGAAGAGCGATAAGGACAGGGAAGAATTCTAGCATATTTGCACAACAACTAACAACACGACATAGTTTGTAAATATTGGGCAAATGTCCCTGTTCAAAATGCTAAGGGTAATATAATATCGCAGTGCTCCGTAACATAGTTTCAAACGCGAAATCTTCCAAAATGGATTAGGACATAAGAGGGCTTCTAACGTGTTGTAGTATTGTAGGGTATCACATGGTCGGCCCCGCACGACTATAGCCTTTGCTTACTTGTTTTAAATTTTATTGAATGAAAGCATAAAGAGAAATAGCATCAAATTTTAGAATAAGTTTAGATTTGAGTGATTTGGTCACCTTTGGCACGAATTATGACCTTCAAATGGCAAATGAAACCGTCACACGCTGCCCGAATGTTGCTCTGCGGTATTTTGGCCCATTCCCGGCGAAGCGCTTGCTTCAGGTGATCGACACTTTGATATTTTTTAGTGCCAACCT